ACTCCTCTAATTAATTAAATAATATTAATGGGCCACCAACATTATATTATTGCACTCCCTCTTCCTAGCCCAAATTACATTTGAGACTCCAATAATAATTACTCGATTTACCTCCCCACGTTTAAGATATAATGTCCATTAATTAATTCGATTACTGAAAATCAAGAATTAATTAATTTATTATTATCACTGAAGCTAGCGCTCGTTCATCACATTCTTATTATGCCGGAACTTAATCCACCTGCAGGGTTTAGCATAACAATCCTCCATGAACTCACTCCGGGGACATCATCAAACTAACGCACATGGTGACCGTAAATATCATAACAGCACATCCTATATATAATAATATTACCCAAAACAGTAGGAATATTAATCCAGCGAACTGAACCTCACCCATGTGAATCAATGTAATATATATTATATATATCTGCCTGTTTAATATCTTACGGGTTAAGAGAACGTTGTAATTAACCGAGGCCTAGTTCATTTACGACGATCAGTATAAAATGAACTTCTCCTCTCTGGGATCCTGTTCAATACATAAATGTACTAGTGCAACTAATCAGTGAAGACAAACTGTACAGTTGACACTACAACCGTTCGGATGGAGTGTTCATGTCCATCTAGGTTGTGAACAACTATTCTTATTCTCAAGTAACTGATAGAGTGATCTTCGGTACGCCCGATGACGACCCACTCCATCTAAGTGCAGAACAACAGAACGTAGAACTTGTTTAATCTAACATGATTCTCATTCATTAAAGGTAAATGTGTAATAACATGCAAAGCCAAGCTTTCAGTATATAACACTAACACGTCTTCAGCAAATTCTCGCTATCGTAGGAGTATACCTCCCGTTTTTTGCCAATTTCCAGCAATCAATTGCAATCCCAATTTCAAAATTTTCCATATCAACCAATTCCCTCATTTCCTATACCCCAAACTTCAGAAAATAATGTCTACCCTCAGCAACAAAATGCGATGAACATGAATCCGTCTCAATATATGTGGCCAATAGCATCCCAGTATGGAATGCCAAATTCACTTGGCATGCCTTTTCAACATGGTAATTTCATACCAACAGCTATAAGTAATGGGCCTACTGGCTCACAAGATCCCCTAAGAGCTACCACGGGGCCAGAGGTTGAAGGTCTTGACAATATTTGTCTTAATACGCAGAGAGAAGAAGATAAAGAACCTGATCCAAAAAGACGTGGGAAAGCGTCGGCAATATCGTGGACACAAGAGGAAAATATGTTGCTTTGTCGCACATTTTGTACTATCTCGAGTGATCCCATCGTCTGTGCTCAACAAACTTCTGAAGGCTTCTGGAAACGAATCACTCAATATTATAATGAAACAGCTCATGCTAGAAACTTGATTGAGAGATCTATGGATTCAACGAAATCTCACTTCTATGCTTTTCATGCAGATTGCCTTAAATTTAATGCATCCATAAACAGGTTTCGGGCTGACCAAAGGAGTGGTGAAAATGATGCTATTGTGTTACAAAATGCATTAACAGAGTGGAATAGTGAAGGAAAAAGAAAAGGAGGCTTCAAGTGACTTCACTGTTGAGAGATTCTGAAGGATAGTCCAAAATTTCAAGGACTGGTGGAGCAATTCGTGGAGGAAAAAAATCCTAGGACATCAGAGTCGGGTGATCACACTTCTGGATCTGGACAAAATGTGGAGCATGTTGGTGATGACGATGAAAGATACGTGCGTCGCCCCATCGGCCAGAAGGCAGCGAAGGCTGCAAAGAGAAAGGGAAAAAGTGGCACAGGGAGTAGTACTGATCAAAGAGCAGAACGTATGTTGGATGCATTTGGACAAATTATGAGTATGCACGAGAAGCAACAGAAGGAGATAAAGAAGTTGGTATGCATAGAGTCGTGGAAGACCTATAAAGAAATGCTAAAAGAAGACACTTCAACTATGACTGAAGAAGAATTAGAAGCTCATTATGGGCTTCTTGCTGAACTGAAAGAGGAATTGGACCTCAATTAAATTTGACAATGTATTCTATTTATATTTATCGTATTTTGTTTGCAATAAGAATTTGTACTGTAATTTATTTTTATGTATTGTAACGTGTTTAATTTTAATGTTTGTCATTTTGTATTTTTCGTCTATCGTGTTCACTGTCTCTATCCAACTGCATTCATTATATTTGAACAAAATACATGCCCACCAACCAAATTAATTATGTTTGAAAGACATGTCACGTGTTCCAACATACCACTTGTAAAACCTTACATTTTTCTCATCTTCTCATTATAAAATGGAGCATTGGTAGATTCAATTAGACACCAACCACCTTCAGCAAACAACATAATTTTTTTTCTTCTTCATTTACTCTTCTTTTCCTCAAGTCTCTGTTTTCTCTTTATTATTTCTAATAAAATGTCTAGATGTACAAATGACAGAGTAGCATATCGTGCGTTCTTGAAAAGTATGCTTGATGATTCTCTCGCAAAAGCTGAATTTACCTTGATGGAGGCAGCTATTAATGAGTTCCAAAAGGACGAACAAGCTGAAAATTCAACAAGGCGAGAAAGGCGAGTAGTGCACCGAGATCATGATGTTGGACACACTCTACTTGTAAGAGATTATTTTGCTAATGAGCCCACCTATCACGAGGGCTTCTTTCGTCATAGATTTCGTATGTCTAGACGTTTATTTTCTCATATTGTTGATTCTATTAAAAATCATTCTGATTACTTTAAGAGCAGAGTAGATGCGACTGGTAAAAAAAGTTTTACATCTATTCAAAAGTGTACTGCTGCTATACGCCAACTGGCATATAGAGCACCCGCCGATCAGTGTGATGAATACTTACGCATGTCAGAGCAGACGGAAAATAGAAGTCTCATCGAGTTTTGTCGATGTGTGCGACAAATATTTGCATCCCAATACTTGCGTTCACCCAATGGTGCTGGCATTCAACGGCTACTTGTATTACATGAGGGAAAACATGGTTTTCCAGGAATGCTAGGGAGTCTTGATTGTATGCACTGGGAATGGAAAAATTGTCCAGTTCGTTGGCAGGGCTCATACACTCCAGGGGATCATGGAGTACCCACAATAATGCTTGAAGTTGTAGCCTCATAAGACTTGTGGATCTGACATGCCTTTTTTGGACTCGCTGGATCACGAAATGATATTAATGTGTTACACGAGTCTCCACTATTCAACGATGGTTTACACGGGGTAGCACCGGAGGTAAATTTTACAGTAAATGAAACCCATTATATAAAAGATTACTACTTAACAGATGGTATCTATCCGGAATGGGCAACATTTGTGAAAAGCTTTCAATGTCCAGAGTATCCAAAGAGGAAAAAGTTTAAGCAACGACAAGAGGCTGCAAGAAAATATGTTGAACGTGCTCTCGGAGTGTTCCAGTCAAGATGGGCAATTGTACGTGGTCCAGCTCGTTTTTTGTACAAAGAAGGTCTGAGTGAAATAATGTTATCGTGTATTATTTTACATAATATGATAATTGAGGACGAGGGTGATGAAGCAACCAATTGGTTCAATGAAGATGGTGAACCACCTATCCAAACACATCATGGTCATCCAACAAATTTTCGTCGCTACTTGCAAATACAAGCCGAAGTGCAAGACAAACAAGTTCATCACCAACTTAGGCATGACCTAATTGAACATATATGGAATGAACCTATTTATTAAGAGTAATATATTGATCATGTATGAAAATTTTAATTTTTATCGCCATGTGATTTTCAAGATTTTATATTATTGTAAGGTTTATGTGTAATCAAATTTTCTTATTATTTTTTTTTTATTTTTGTCGGCATGTAATTTTTATATTTTATATTATTGTAAGGTTTATGTGTAATAAATTTCACTTATTATTATTATTTTTTAATTTTAATTATACGTAAAATATACTCCCTCCTATTTTTAATATTTGTCATTCTAGCTTAATTGATCATTTGTTAAATAAATGTCGTTTTGGCTATTTTGTTCATATTTTTCTCTTTTAACCCCTCCATCAATACCCATTGTCCCTTCATATTCCCAAGAACATCCATCCACAATTGTGTCATTAAATAGAGTTAAACTTGGAAAGAAAAATATTTCTTAATTAGTGTGTTGATAACCAGGATGACAAATATTTAAAATAGGAGGGAGTATTTATTATGATATATAATAAATGTGTCATTGTAAAAATTTATTAGTGTTTTTAGTAAATATGAATTAAATTGATATATAAATTAAAGTAAGTGGGAAACATGCCCCACTAAAAGAAAGTTTGTGAAGTTTATGATTATTGGAGGTTTGTGATATTGAGAGTGACAATAAAATTTAGATGATGTGGAGTATTAGGAATATAAAAAGTAAAATTTATAAACTTTACCCATTAAAGATGCTCTGACCCTCCATGTAACCTTTTTCTTTATTACAAATGTGTATTACACAAGTTCTACTTAGAATCACAATAATCACCTTTTTTCTTTATTACAAATGTGTATTACACAAGTTCTACTTAGAATCACAATAATCAACATTCATAAATGAAACCTGTATATATACATACATGCTAAAAGACGCCCTTGCATTAAAAGAATGGAATGATATGTACATTTACATAACCCCAACATCATTACACTTTCGGAGGCAAACAAACATGACACTTAAAACAAGATTAGGGACTTGAAAACCAATTTTTAACTCTGAAACTAAAATTCTACGTATATATCATATCCTCCAAACTAATCCTGTGAAGCTGTTGAATATTCAAATATGAGACGTTTAGACGGAGACGACTGAAGGAGCACACGCAGACGACTCGTGAGCTGATAGATCAAAGTCCACTGCATAGCCATCTCCGAATCCTTCATCTGCCTAACTACAGAAGCCTGAAACCATAAAACCCCACTCCGAAAATTATACAGGTTCATAATAATAATAATAATAATAAGTTTGTAATTTTTTGACAAAAAACTTTTGATTATTTTGTTAAGGGGAGAAAAACCTGAAGGCGCTTCCCAAGCTGGACCTCGACTTCTGTCCCAAACGAGATGTTACTGGCGAGGGACTTGAGAGGGTCGACTGTGGGGTCCATCGTAAGTAAGGTGGGGATCTGTGGAGAGTATACCAGCCTCCACCTGGCATGCCCGAATTCCCCCTTCCCCTCTATCCTCGGCATTAGTGTCTCAAGTGTTGCTGTGGCAAGCTTCTTAAACGCCAGCTGGCCATCACCTTCCAATATCGACTCCGCGAGCTGGCTCTCAAACACTCGAGCTGCCTGTTTTTGGTCAAAAACCACGTGGGAAATTCTCAGATGCTAACAATTTTTTTTCTTTAAGGGATTTTTAATAAAAAGTAAACCCCAATGGGGTGCTTGCTTGATTGTAAAACCTTAATGAGGCATTTAATATGTGGAATTTCTTTCCTTTTTCTTTTCTTTTTTTTTTTTGTAATTAGGTTCTAAAGGGTAGGTTTTGTAGGAAACCCAAAGCGTATGCCACGTTAGTCCACGTATTAACCTCAGTAGTCGAAAGGACATCTTGTTCAACCGAACGTGTTGAGGTCACCACCAACTTTTCTTGCCATTTGCTAGCTCGACTTTGAATTCTGAATTGCCATTCTGATCCTACCAGTGCTAAATCCAGCATTGGGTCAAGTCCATTTTCAGGCTCGAATTTTGCTATGTTTAAATGTTCCCGCTTCAGCCTCACCTAGATTTATAACCAAGAATCAAGAAAAACAAAGACCACATAAAAGCAATAGAGAATTATATAATGAGAAAAAGAAACCATAGTCACAACCTACAGGCTACAGACCAATAATAATAATAATAACCTGTGTCGCAACAAGATTGACATCACCATTCTCAAACATTAGAATGCCTTTAGGTTTTATCCATTTGGGATGGGCAGGGCCGTTTAACTCGAGCTCCCCACTAACAGCAAAATTGAGTATCAAAGGATAAACTATCCTTAATTCGGGCCCTAGAGCAACTTTGAGGTCTGATAGGCGGATATCTAGCTTCGGCTTGCTATTTACCAGCACCATCTGCTTTTCAACTTCATCAGGTTCATCTGCAAACGATCACAAGTCTTAGCATTATAAAAAGATTACAACAATTTATGAATAACATGCTTTTTGAACAGCCATTATCAGTCATGCATGACGCATAAAACTGTTGCAACATGGAATTACGCCTAAAATTCATGAATTATTTGGAACACAGTGTCCAAAGAAATCGGAAACATAGAAAATAACATGATCTTTAAATATAGAAAACAAACTTCGGTTTTTAATATACTCAAACTCACCAGGTGATTGGTGGAATGGGTTATTAGACGCCCCTGGTATTAGATTGAGAAAACGCGAAACATACTTTGAGGCAACCATTCGACCATAACTGCCAGCTGGCAAACTTGGTTTGTTTGTCGTGTCTCTGATGAAGGGAGCAGCTCCACTACCCTTGTCGTGGGGTAGATAAGCTTCTCCTTGGCTAACCTTTATTTTTCCAGATATGTTGGGTTGCATAATAGACCCACTAATTTGCAACTGAGAATCAACCTGACCACTTTCATAACAACACCTTTTTCAGGATTTCAACGAAAATATCTCACAAAGGAAATGCCCATGCACACACACACACACACACACACACACACACAAAAAAAAATGAAATATCAGAAAGTAACTGAAACCCAAGAGTCAGGTGCCCTTAATTTTAAATTTTAATTTTTTTTAATTAAGAACGAAAAGTACCTCAAAATATTCCGTGCACGAACTTCAAGAACCTCACATTTCAAGTCAAGTTTATCACCAAGAGAAGTTTCGTTCACCCGGAGAGGCAGATTCCCTCTCATGGACAATTTTCCCTTTCTGCTCACTCTACCTTCCAACGAGCCAATCCGCAGCCTATTCGAATTCACGAGAACAGTTCCTCCGAAATTGGTTATGGGTTTCCTTAGTACAGGTGATGACACAGTTGCCCTGTGAAAATAAGCAGACCCATCCACCACTGGTTGTTCAACAGTACCCCTTACCTACACAAAAAATGAAACCCAAATTAAATTATATCCAAAAGCGGTCCACTATGTTGGCTATTTTCCGAAAAACGTCCATTATATAGGACGTCATCAAGAATGGTCTACTACGTTGTCATTTTCGTACAATAATCAGCATAGTGTACTAAAAGTGATCATTTTTAGTTGCCATTTTCAGTACACTATGTTGGCTATTGTACGAGATTTGATTAAAGTGGCAACTTAGTGGACCATTCTTGATGACACTATATAATGGACCTTTTTCGGAAAATGACCCACATAATGTACTAAAACGAAATTTAGCCAAAATTTCCAGACTAGTGCACCAACCTGCAGCATAACTTCTGCACTGCCATGAAGCCAATTGGCATAGGGAGATAATGCAGTTAACAGCATCATGCCACCATCTTTAACATCACCATCAATCCTAACTTCGCCAGCATCCAATAAATTCCAATTCAATCCCTTGAGGCTCTCGGCCAATTGTGCGTCCCAAACCTCTTGATTCTTTTTCCGATCACCATTATCTTCTCCGGGCCCCTTACTTCTCTCCGGGTCCCATCCACGGGCCCACGTGGCCTCATTTCTATCCCTTTCGCTACTTTCTTCCTCTGCAACACTATTCTGCACGAGTGTCAAAGGCACACTTCCCTGAACATGCACGTGCCCGTTTTGAACAATCGGCTCAAATTTCGCATTAAACAAAAAACGGCTATTTGGGGTTAGAGATGCGACAATTTCAGCCCGGCCCAATTCAATTCCCCCAATGGCCCCATCCAAAAGCCTCACCTGAACATCACATTCAGGCTTAGCTAAATTTCCTTTGAGATCGCCTTCCATGTGGAGAATGCCTCTGATTGGTGCAAATAACTGTCTCAGGGAGTGAACGGCCTCAGTGGCCGAGCTTTCGATGAGCTGGACGAGCGTGGGTACCAAGTTGACGGGAAAATTAAGTACGGCAAAATGTAGGTTTGTTTTTGGACCGAATAATGTGCCGTCCGCGTGGATTGTGGCGTTGTCTCTTTGGATGAACATTCGCTCGAGACGTAAACCGTCCGTGTTGCTGTATAAGCCGGCGGCTAGAATTCGCTGGGTGGTGTATGTGCCCCACTCCCATTCCTCTCCATGGAAGTCGAATTCTGCCTAAAGTTTGAACAGAAGAAGAAATTTACAAAAACTGCATCAGAGGTTAAAAAAATAATAATAATAATAATAAAAAGCTTTGAAAGTTATGCGCAAAATAATTAATTTTGATTCTCAGTCTTTTTTTTAATATTAAGTGTAACTACAATATAATTCAATAAATGTAAGGGATTTTTACAAAAAAATAAAAATAAAAATATATCTAACATAAGGGAAAATGTAAAAGAAATCAAGTCTAAAGGGTGTTTGAAATTTTGAAAATCTTCTTATTTCTTTTTACCCCAAACCTCAGGGGATAGTTATTGTAATTAACCCTCTTTATAAGGAAACAAGATGAAAATGAAGTTGACAAAGAGTAACAAAGATGATGAACAGGAGGTTATTTTAAATATTAGACATTACACTAGAGTCTGCAAAAGTAGTTAAAATAAAGTTTCTCGCTCAATGTATCTTCAAATAGTGTCATTCAAAGCATACAAACTGTAATGCAAAAATTATGCAAAGATATAAACCGTGGTGTCTCCATTGCCTCCTCCACTTGCATCTAAAGAGCCACGCCACCGGCCTTTGAGTTCAGCTAAGCCTGGAAGGCTGTAATCATCAAGGACAACTTCATCTGACAAGGCACAATGACCTCTAATTTCCTACAAGATTTGAAATGAAATTATGATATTAGGAAAAAGAAAGAGAATAAGGATTGAAAAGTTTAATCTTCCAAACTCCAAGAGCTTCATCGTGGAATATTTTAAGATCTTTAACAGTGAAAGATACCTCAAGAAGTTTTTGGAGGCTTTCGGCACACAATCCAACTGACTGCAAGCTTTGTATGAAAAGGTCCTGCAAGTACACAGATTCCAATTTAGTCAAATGCTAGCACATAGTTGGGCCGAGTAGTCAAGTACAAACCCAAAAAGAACAAGAGAAACAAATAAAAAAATACAAAAAATAATAAATAATAATAATTAAAAAAAAAATGACAACAATAGGGACACCAACTTTTCCACTATTAAGATATGCTAGAAGTTGTGATTTCAACTATAGAGCTATTCATATATAGATGCAAAACATAAACTTAAAAAGACGAGTGAAAAATAACTTTAAACTTTTTTCAGAATATAGAGCTGTATTTCTGCAACCTTTGATCTGGATTGAACAGCAGGATCAGAACTTCGAGAAAGCAGCCTAGCAAGTGGAAGCATCTCGGCAATTTCAGCACTAGGAACCTCTAACCTCATTCTCCATCTACCCATAGAAGAGATCACGCTACCAAGATGACCAGTGACCACTTTCTGGAACAAGCTGCTTTTTTCCTTCCCTGAAGGGCTTCTGTCTCGGGATCCAGGCAATACATACTCCCCTTGTAGTTCATATTTGCTACTGCTTTGTTCCAAGGTCGCTCTTTCAACAGTAATCTATGTCTCAAACAAGTATTTGCCAGGAAAAAAAAAAAAAGTGAATATCAAGAGTCACTTTATTGATATGAACCCATTAACAAAATACATGTGTAACGTGATTGGAGTCAAATTGTCGACCAAAGTAAAGGTATTACTACATGATTCGTTCATAGAACAATTTCATCCCCACTTGAACAATTCTCATTAATTATCCATATATTTAGGTATTGCAATATAATCATCAAATGATTAAGGTGAAGGCAGGCACAGACCACATCACCACTCCATCTGGCAGCCACATCTAGAGCTTCACCCAGGACACCACTAAATTTTGGCCGAAGAACGGATAGAACACCGTGCCCTCTTCTTTTCTGAAAGTTCAACTGAAGCTCTGCCTGGGAGGAAGAAAAAGGAAATAACAAGAATAAGAGCTTCAGCTTAAAACAATATATATTGTCTAGCCACTTTCCACTAACTTTGATGTTTTTATTATGTATCTACTACGTAGGCAGAATAAGATTACACAGCAGCTCCAGAACCAGGACAATCGAATATAAATTTAGCACTCTACAAGAAGATTACTCGTGAAATTGCTCCCCTGAGTGAGGCTAGCTCGAGTTCATCCAACGGAAAATGTCGCACCTAATTGCATAATAAGAGCAAACATTTTGTATTAATACTTAAGAAAACAAGATAAAGGGCCACAGGAAATGGAAGACAGATAAAAACTTATCAAGTTCAGCAAAAAAATATGATGGAAAGAACCTCAAGGTTAGTTGAGTGAAATGGTCGATAAGATGCATTAGCTTTCAAGTGACCTTTCTGCAGAGAAAAAGACAGCATCTTTCCAGCTAGATCTTCTTCAGAAGTTGACTGTAAAGGTCCTACAAGTTCTACTGCAAGACTTTCATCTGGCCGGCCTGTAGCATCTAACTGCATCACCATTTAAAAATTAATAAAAATGAGAAAGTAGTGAATTAAAATTGCACCCTTATGCAATGTGGCAGTCGAGTTTAATGATAATCCTAACTATAATGCAAAATGCATACATACAATTTCAACGTATTATTACAAGAAATCAGTAATTATAACCAGCATTTGCAAGGTTTTGTTGTGACTAATAACATAACAGCACAGGGTGTCCATCATAGGCCTTTATAAAACAAAAAACCTAACAAAATTACGAAAAGATGTAGTTGCTTCCTGAAGCAACTCGAATTTTGTAGAATAGAGATAATATTTTTCAAAGGCTAAAATTGCAAAAGGTATTGAATACCTAAAGAATCAGAGCAAGTTTATTTGTTTAAAGCTCCCCTTAAAACCATTTAGACGTGAATCGTGACTCACCAGTAGTGACCAAATGAACATGACATCTTTGTGGAGTACAAGAAACAACTAATATAGAGGAAAAGGGTTGTAATAAACCTTGATACCCTTTGAAGATATATTCAATACTCCAGCTAACTGAGGAGCCAGCATCAATTGATTGAGTTTTAAACCTGAGATTGAGATATCCCCACAAATACTCTTTCCTTCCTCACCGCCTTCCATTCGGGGTTTCTCCAAATCCTTAACGGAACTCAGTTCTCGACTTTCGATAATATGGCAATTCTTGTTAACCTTCCCTTGAAACTTAATTTTACCCGTCGCTTTCAGATGCACTGGCCTTAGAGAATCAAAAGCATATGGTGAGACAAAGTTGAAAAACTCGAAATTTCGCATTCTTAGGTCCAATTCAACTCCTTCGACAGAGAAAGGCATGGCAGCTACTTTACTGCACTCTCTCCAATCTAAACAAACATCCTCAGGATATGATGTTAGAACTTTTGTGTACAATTCAAAAGCAGCAGATGAAGAATTGACCGAAATGTGGTCGTGCGAAATTATGACATCACCACGAGCATCAGAAAGTGATCCCTCAGCTCTTGGTGCGGTCCATTTGATATCAAATCTCCTGCATTTGGTGAACTCAACTAAATTTACATTTCTAAGAAAACTTTATCCCATAAAATCTTAAGCTATAGCAAGAAATCATACGGTCTTAATAAGGAGCCAGAAACTTTTGTCTCTCCATTCAGATCCCCTAACTTGAGAGGCATTGCTTGAAGAAAGCCAGGTATATACCGATGAATAATTTTATCAAAATATAAGTTCCCAGAAAAATTGACATCCATTGCTGTGTCATCAACCTCACCCTATAACATACAAATGAACATCAAACGAAATTACACCTACATTACATCAAATTTTGGGCTTCATATAGTAATGGATAATTTAAACTAAGAAAAGCTGGTACACAAATGCATCTTCTGATTTACTAACATACCACGCAATACCCAGGATATATCACTTGCAATATCATTTTAACTTATATAACTCTTTATATCTTTGTGATTTCAGTCTTGTTAGCTGGATACCAATCATATAAAAGATGACGTCACAGAACTACCCTAGGTTGCATATCTAGTTCTCTTTTAAATATATAATTATGTAAGGCATTGACATAAGAATGTTTTGATTTACTGATGCAGCTTATTTATATTATCCGTCAAATATACTGTTGTTCAAGCAAATAAACACCTCAGGACAAATCCAAGCATTTCCAGCTCCACGAATTTCACCACCATCAACAAGAGTGGCTCGGATTCCATACAGGTCAGCAACCTGCCATGTGAAAACAAGAAAATAAGAATATTAAAGGAACACTAAATCAAATTCTAAATTATGATAATTTTCTAAACAGTACTCACACAATTATCAGTATTAAAGGTGAAGTTGGCAGAAATATAAGAGAATGGGACATGATCAATGGCTGCCACTGCACCAGCCTCTTTGTTTTTCATCATTGTCTCATATGCAGCCGATTGAGGAGTGTTTGCAGGAAAATGTATGAGCTTCCTTGAAACCAAAGCACTTCCCACAAATACAGGAGCATCCAACGGCCCTTGACAATTGAACACTGCTGTTACTGATCCTGCCAACTAAATTGAATGGAGGAGATTAATTAAGTTTGACGCAGAGAAATAAAAACCCAGAAGCAAAGGATATGTACGAAGAAAATACATGGTAAACCCCTTTTAAAATGAAAAACTTGCTTTTCACATATTTAGGAGTAATATCTTCAAGATTGCGAAAAACTAATAGAAGTTTCAGTTGGATTGAACATGTTCCAAACTTGAATATGCATAGATTTGAACACTGAGCTCCTGGGTTCTATTTAGTTTGGCTGTTTCAGTTGGATTGATCGTCGAAAAGATTAATTCACATATTTAATCATCTAGAGGAAAGACGAAACGCATACCGGAAATAACAACGGCTTCATCTTGAATGTGTTCATCAACGCATTTACCTCTACAGATGGAACCTGAGACACCAGCCTCAGAGTGTCAACAGCTAAACAGAACGTTGAATAGTTAATAGTAGAGTGAGACAAAGTATGCAGTCGCACATTAAAGACAGCTATAAATTTCTTAATGGATAATTGGATNTCAAATACATAGTCAGCTTCCAATCATATGCTTCATAAGCCTTTTCATTTTCTTTTGGATACAGTTACCTAGATCTAAACTGGTCCTCTGAAACCAGGACTAGTAAAGAAAAACCCAAACTGTGTAAGTAGATTTAATCTGGTGAGATGACAAAAATGGTGGACTAAAGTGTGATCACGATTTCCAGAAGGCTTTGAATTATGAAAGATGCATGTTCAGATTGATTCACATTAACAGCATACTTTCCTGCATGGATGTTACAGCAGAGAGAAGATATCTACGGCAGCGTATATATACTACTTCAATTGAGACTCTTAAATAACAAAAAAAAAACTCACTCACTACCATGCATGAAAGTTCTGTCACTACTTTATCTTCATTGTTCAATGTATTATAAAAATACTTTCATCTTTATAAGGTAAAAGGAAAAAAGCATGAAAAAGGAAAAACATAAGTACACACCTGGCACATAAGGTGATATTCTCCTTCCTCTGGATCAATACCAAAATCCCCGGATGCCTCTAAAGGAACATCACCAAACCAGCCCCTGGCATTGTGCAAAAATATTCTCTGGGCACGGAAAAACAAACTCGCAGAGATATCCTGTTCAAAAGAGGTGGTTAGCCCATATAGACACTTAACAATCAGTAATGAATACATGAAAACTATAGTTGATCTACCGAATGTAGTGTCCAATAGTGAACCACTATGACTGTTCAATTTAATCAAGATGCAGACATCTTTCACCCGATATGTATGGCTGTATAAAGAAAATGTAGTGGAAACTGTATTTAAGCTATTTTTTAGTGTGGACAATTTTTTGTCTCCCGACTCCTGACCATCACTCAACAACATAACACGGCTTTATGAATTTTAATAACATGACATGTAGCCGCACATCTTGAAAGAGACACAAGCAAGAAGAAAGTCCGTGAAAAGTTTGGCCCAAAAATAATTGATACAGAAACATACAGAGAAACATGATGGAGTATCATAGATGTTAAAGTTGACCCCCGTTACATCTAGCTGCCCGTGAAGATTAGGAAAAGTTTCACCTCTTGACATGCAAATGTGAACCTGTTAGCATAGGCGTTCAATGTCAGCTATAATTCATCAATTCAATAAGAGTTGATAGAAAGGAAACTTTTCAATCTGTATTAAAAATAACATTATGCCAATTGAACAAATGCAATGTGTGACAAATGTCTTCAACGTCTATATTAGTGCAAGTACGATAAACTTCCAACTTGCAAGATCACTCTCAACCACAATCGAAGGTACCATAACCAAAACATGTAAATTAGTACATATTGCAAGAGAAACAATAAAGTATGAAAAGCACCTCGCCACTTGCTCTTCCTTTGGACCATGTAATTGGAAGGTCTAAAATCCTCTCGAAAAGCTACACAAAGACATAAAGATAAGGCAGTTTCATCTAAATCACATTTTTCACACAGTAGGTGGCTTAGAGTAGTAAATTGTGTAAATGTTTGACTTTCTCAATGTAATTTACCGGAACAAAGAGATTTACAACTTTTAAATTCGCATGCCATTTTTGGTCAATGATATCAACATAAACATCAGTGGACAACCATCCACCATCTTCGGAATTCGAGTCCGATCTCCACATCTTACAGTTTCCACTAAGTTGCACATGAACGCGCCCATAGTGATTCAGAAACTTCACATGTCCACTAGCAACTTCCATTTCTCTATAAAAGAAACAACAATTACAATCAAATACTTGGAGTAAGGCATCCCACATCTGTAAGAAAATCCAATAAACATGCATGAATGAGAAATCCATGTTCTTACAAAGCAAAAAGAATCCAGAGTAAAACAAATTTTCCAAAGTTCTTCCTACAAAATATGGTTTTGATGAATAGAACTATGACAATTACTTACAAATGACCACATGACTACTGGAAGATTTTACGTAAAATGAAGAATTGCGCACCAATACAAATGCCATCTAAGCTATTATTTAGAAGCATCAATTTCCAATCCAAAAAGTAGCAGATCAAGCAAGTGAGAAGTAAGAAGGATGAAGATCTAGTCCACAAACAAGAGTGAAGGTGACAAAAGAGAATTAAAATAAGGAATTATCATTACTACAGTAATATTACCTTGGTTCAGTATCACCATATGCTAACAGCATCAGTGTACCATCTTTGAAATGTACAGAGTCAAGAACAATGGGAATCATCTTATCTATGCCTGAAGAATTTTCTTCACCAATCTCATCAATCAGTTCTGTGGCTATGTCCTCAACTCCTACACCAACCTCAGATTTCAGTGTTTGCAACGGATTGACAATACGAGACCACGATTCACCAAGGCTTTTTAAGATAGAGGATAAGTTTGATTCTGGTTTCAAAGGCGAAATACTTACGAAATGATCACCTGAACTTGAAGATTCAAGCTGCGTACCTTCATGATCGTAAGATGCATGGCCTACTTGGAAACCGAAATTATCATCCTGATCAATTTTCATCTTCTCAACCGATCCAAGGGTTTTATCCCATGCATCTGTTTTATTGATGTCATGACCATCAAGATATCTACTACTAGTTGGAGAAACATAACTGCCTCTCTCACCTACAATACTGCTGGCTGGCGAAGATTTATCATCCGATTCTGTATTTTTAACGTTTCTAACAAGGAAAAAATCACGTGAAGCATCCTTATGATTTCTGGACAGCATTTCCACATTTCCTCTAGGAAATGAATCAACTTTCGATCTATTTTCGGCCTCTGACCACACATTGTCCGTCAATACATCGTCAAAAACTTCAATATTTACATCATTCTCCTGAACATCAAAACCTGCGCAGCCCCAAAAAAAATGGTCCACTTACAAGGGGTGACACAAAATAAATATAATCATAAACTACCTCAAAAACATTAACTGGGTCACATTCTGTATCATTACCTTAATAAATATATCCTTTAACAATAATAACTAAAAAATACGACGCGCAATGGAGAAACATGTTCTCATAGTAGAAACCATACCTAGTTCTCGGGATCCCCCAGTAGAGTTTCCAGAATTCACCATTGAGTGACCCTTGAAATATAAACGAGCGGCTGATGCACTCTGATCAAGAAGTCTTCTTTTAGAAATTACACCTACCGCTGATAAATCTTTCCCATTGGCCTTCCGCTTGAACTTGCTTCCCACAGGCCCCGGCACAATTCTTGACCAGAAGCCCATCTCAGGAGCCGAAATTTTCGTGCCGAACGACCTCTCTAAATCGGCATGCTTCAGATCATACTCAGCGCCTGCATCCACACCCCGGTGATCCCTCCAATGCAATTTCTCATCCATATAAAGGAAAGATTCATGAGCCCCGGGTCCCACACGCGGGTCCTTGCTACTATCCTTCACAAAACCATCCTCAGCCAGTTCACGATTGCAATCATAAACGATATAACCCTTTTCAGCAGACATTCTAGCAGACTTATCCCTGTCCTTTTCCCATCTAGCAAAAGCTTCCTCTCGTGCGATCCTCCTCGTTTTCGTACGATAATCAATACCTTCCTCAACAGACAAATGCTTCTTGGCAATCCCTCCTTCCGAATAGGGTATACCCAACCAGGTGAAGTTTTTCTTTTGTGCCACCAAAAGAGTCGGGTTCGACAAAACGGCATCGATCACGATCTTCCGCCTTCTCAGGCTCGCAAAGGGGCGTATTCGTAATTTCACAGTGGGAACCTCGCCGCAAGAGAACTCCTCAGCATGAGGACCCACCGAACACGACTCGAGAGTGATGCTAAGTGGTGAAATCCGGCGAACCCTGCCGAAATCGAGTTCACGCTGGATATGATTGCTTAATAAGGTAGACACGTTGGGCAAAAGATTTGATTCGACGTAAATTTTGGCTTTCGAACGGCCATACCACAGTAAAAGGCATACCCCGGATATCACACTGCAAAAGACAGAGCATCTGAAGAGAAATAAACCCTCTTCCCATACTGGAGCCATGTACTTGACCAGTGTCTTGCTTCGGGTAACGGGCTCTTTGAGGGAATTGGCCATCCAAACACCACGTGATTCCAATTTTCTCCATAGCAGCTCGACATTCTTCCCGCACAAGTGCATGAATTTGTTCCCGTGATGAAGCCACTCGTGCTTCTTTGCACATTTACATGGTGAAAAATGTGAGCCATTTCCCCGGGGTTTCAATGTAAGTCCCCTCTGGTATGCAAAATTCCCCTTGTTTCTACTCCTAAAAGTAGTGTACTTAAGTGGGACACTGAGAAATGAGGTGTGAAGTTGGACACTCATCGTCAACAGTTAATGAACTCGATTTCTTTTGGGACCCCTTTGCAGGGGACCAAGAGCGAGCCCTTAGTCCCCCCAATCACACCATTAACTACGGGAGTTGCAAGAGAAAGAGGAATCCAAACCTGAAAATTATACGAACATGACGTGGTTTTGTGTTCTCTTGCTTAAATGGGCGGGCCTGTACGGAGTAATGAAAACAGTGATCAACGACCCAATTTCCCGGAATAATTTCTTGGGCGTTCGATTCCTCCAACAGATAGCAGCTATCTAAGGCGCTTAGGCAGTCAGCAATCCCAGATGTTGGGCGGCAAGCCCCTCTCCACCGTATTGCGCGTGTGAGGGATAGAGAGCTCGGCGAATTTTATTTTGTTTCATGAAAAAGAAAGACATGTTTTGGAATTTTGATTTTAACTACCGTAGACGTTGCAAAATTAAAATAAGGTGGGTTTGTTTATCAATTATTTTGAGGTGATTGGGGGCAAGTAAAAAAATGATTTTGGATCCAGTCAAACAAAAAAAAAAAAAACTGATTTTAATTTTTAAGACTGATTTTTGCTGTTGGGTTTGTGCTTGTTTATAAATTTTAAATGGCGAAATTGTTTTACATACCACAAGATTTTAAAAAAATTATAAAAATACGAGTGGTCGAGATCTTAATTGCATGGATACCTATTAAATTGTTTTTATTTGTTGATAAAATAGAAACTTCCGTTACCTTATTAATTCACTTTCCTACAATCACGCAAAGATTGGATTAAAAAATAAGGTAAGTGTGTTTCACCGAATAATCCGTATTATCTGTTCATATTTAATAGAAAAAAAGAGATAAAATTTTTGAAAATTCGAACATGTGAGAAAACACGAGAAGGAAATATACACAATATACACGATATCAAAAAATCAATCCCTATTGATGATCTGAAAACAGAACTTAGATATTCTCAATTACAGAACATATACGTCTCTTCATCGCCGATCCAGTTTTATTGCAGAACATAAACATAACATATGCAGAACATAAAAAAGATTATTATAGTCAAAAATATATACAGAACACATACAGAACTGATACAATTGTTACATATACTAAACACATACAGAACTGATACAGTTGTTCCACTCAAAGATCATATACAAAATATGTACAGAACATGTATTCAGTCCAGAACATATCATTTAGGTGTTGTCGGCGTGAAAATTTTTATTGTTGTCACTGGGGTCCGACTGAAAATGGCCCGAATCGGATGTGGAATCGGCCTTTTCATGCCTTTTTTTCTGGGTGATATCCGACTGTCCTTCGATTTCATTTTTTTGTCGAAGTGCAGCTTTTTTTGAACCAGTGTAGGATGCTCCTTTGCTTGTAAATTTTGTAGACGAGAGCTGGATCGGCGATGAGAGATGTCTCGTCGCCAGTTATAGGATATTTTCCAAACTTTGTTCTTGCCATGTTCGAATTTTCAGTATATAAGATTAGGGTTTGCAGTTGGTGGGTTGTGGGAGAGAGTAGTGGCGAAAGTATCTTAAGTGTTTGGACGTGGGTGGGCGGTTACAGGTGTGAGATGAGGGAGAGATTTTTCTTGTCAAGTTCCTCGGGAATGTTGTTTTGGAAGGTGATAAGTCACCTTTAATTACGCTGACTTAATATTGCTCCTTTAAATTAATCAGCTTTTATATGTCTGGTAATTTTGCAATTATAAAGGTGAAATCTTGTGTATTTGTTAATATTTGCTAAAGATGTTAAATGGTCTTTGGCCCGACGGGCCAGTCTGTTTAGCTCGGAAAAAAAACGTGGTTAGGACCCTTTACTAATAGCCCGTTTAAATGGTTTTTAAGTCCGGACTGTTTAGCCCGAATTCCGCTAGGGCTAGCCCGAAAACTCGCCAGGGCTGGCCCGTTTAAATAGGGTTGGGCGGTGTAAATATTTGCCGCAAATAAGTAATATGCTCTTATATTCCTTATATATTACAATTTTAATATTCCACTTCACTTGTAAGTATGAGTTGTAATGGATTATTATGATTTTGAAAGATAATTATTAACGATATTGTGATTGTACTTTACACTAAAATATTTAAGTCCAGCAGAACGACTAAAAGGAAACACATGAGACAAAGACCTAACATATGAAATATAGTGATAGAATTTATAATGATACAATATCGTGAAAATTCTCAAAGCTTACAAAATAAGTAATAAAATGGTAATTGTAAGTGGAACTGCTCCCCTACCAACGGTGGGCAGGGAATTAATATGCTCACCGCTTATGTGGCATGTACACATTGGACATAAGCAGTGGGAGGGAATTAATATGCCCAATGTGTACATGCCACATAAGCAGTTGGCATATTAATTCCCTGCCCACCGTGGGTAGGGGAGCAGATCCCAATTGTAAGTAATAGTTGGAATATTTTTTTTCTTTTGAGAAAAAATACGTTTTCTAAGAGTTTGTAATGTGTGGTCATATATCATGTGTAGTTGTATATATAGAGCGGTAAATACTAAATAGCCGTTAAAAACAATCGTTAACTAGCCGTTGTAATTTTTTATATATTCTTTTATTCTTTTTATTTTTGATATTTTTTGATATATAATTATTATTATTATTATTATTATTATTATTGTTGTTGTTATTATTATTATTATTATTATTATTATTATTATTATTATTATTATTATTATTATTATTATCGCCCGCATAGCCCGAGGGCCGCTAGGATTAATGTTAGGTCCCTTTATTGGTAACTCGTTTAAATCTGGGTTTTTAAGGCCCGAACCGTTTAACACGAAGCCCGCTAGGACTAGCCCGAAACCTAGGGCTAGCCCGTTTAACATCTCTAATATTTGCAATGGGGTTTCATTTATGTAATTAAAAAGGGATTTTTTTATTTATGTTATGTGATTTTAAAAATAATTGCAACTTTACCATAGAAGTTGAAATAATTATGTCTCTACATAAAAGACCTTATTTATCTATATTAATGCCTTCATCCCCCTTTTAATTATGTCTCTACCTAAAAGACCTTATTTATCTATATTAATGCCTTCATCCCCCTTTTTATGCGAATGATGAAGAGAGAGAAATGAAAATAAATAACTGACTCATTTAATGCGTAACTTGAATTCCTTAATTCACGTAGTTGTCAGTTGGTATATATTGGGTTTATGTTAGTATATATTCAATATATGTTGCAATGAAAAACATGTTTTCCATCAAAAACTTATGTCTTCTTGTTTTTTTTTTTCTTTTATATATATATATATATATATATATTGATGGGTCTACTTCTAGATCTGAAGAGAACCAGTGGTTTTGAGCTCAGATCTGCTTGAACTGCCTCTGAATCGTTGCTAGACCGCGAGGATACCTGCAAAAACTCAACGCCGGGGGTGTTTCCGGCGTAGAGCCTCCGACGCTCAAGTTAGTATGAGAGTGATGAAGGGATGCTGCGCAGCAGCTATGAGGGGAGTGTGGAATGAATAAGAGTTAGGGTTTAGGGTTACCTCATCTCCTTTATATAGGAGTGAATACTCACCTGAAGTACCCGAAATGCCCAAGTCGGTGGACCTAAAAGGTCCAAATGCCCCGGTCGATTCGTCTCCCCTCCCTGCTGAGTCATCTCAAGATTCCTTCTTATCCATTAATGGTCAAGAGGTTCCAAGAAATATACCAAGTGTAAGGAGTCGTCGGAATGTCTTTCGTCTCGAGGTACAAGGAGTCGACCTCGAGTAGAAACGAGTCGACCCAGGATCTCTTGGTTATTCGGAGGCTACGCTCTTGTTGGTTTTCTCAGATAGATGTCGACTTTCGGGAAGTCGACTGAACGATGACGACTTCCAAGAGTCGATTTGTAGGGCATCTGCCACTTCTCGTTATCGACCTTGTTAAGAGTCGACCTAGAGGAATCGACTTCAACGTGTCGACGAGTCCGTGTCGACATGACGAATCGGTTTGAGCCATTATCCGGTCGAGTAGAGAGCCTTTGGACCGGTATATCTTTATATGGCTATATCATATATAGTTTATAAACATATTATAACAGGTTACTTAATATAAACCATACATATACACACAAAAATAAAAAAAAAAAAAAAAAAAACGAAACCAAATAATGTTTTTGATCAATGAAAAAATATCATATTATGGCATAGTTTATGTGTGGTATATTTAGAGAATTTTTTATTGNGAAAAAAAAAAAAAAAAAAAAAGACTTTGTGACATATTATCAAACAACTTACATGCATTCAAACGTCAAAGCACCACAAAGAGACCAAGAATGAGCGGGCTGGGTTTATAGGACCTGATCCGGTTAATAGGCCGATTACATGATGTTTGTGAATTATATTCGATTTTGATTACTTTCAGAAAGCCTGATAAATCTTGCCCAGATCCATAAATCTAAAAGGCCTCAACTTGCAATACAACCAGTTTGGGCCTAATTGCCAAAGAGCATAGTCGGTTCTTGATGAGGATGACTGAAAGCCGAAGAATTTCACGGCGACGCCGCCTGTATCATCTGCAGATGAAGTCAGATTTCCCATTTCCCATCTGCAGTTACGGGAAATTCATTGATCAATCGTAAGTGCTCAGAGCAGCGAATGAAAGCTTTCCTAATCACAGCCTATGGCGGTTAGAAACCCCAGCCGTCTTTCTCGGAGAAGACTGGTTACATGTCCGATCCGGTAGGGATGGTTCCTCTCGATAGATTAAGCTACTTATGTGAGTTCTGGTAGTTTTTTTTTTTTTTTGTTATTGGATTAGTTTTTGCTGTGTGTGACTCTATTAGGGTTGATTAATTTAAGTACACAGAGTTGGATTGAATTTGGATAAGGATGAAGGTATATGTGCAAATATATTGAGTGATTTTATATTTTTGCAAATAAATATTAGTGGGGTGTAAATATGTAATATAAACTATATTTGATAGTACTAGTGCGTGGCCCGTGCGATGCACGGGAAAATAATATTACGATTGTATTATAAATTAAATATATAAATAACAATCATGATTTATCCATTGTTTTTAAATTAAACCGGGTTGGACACCGTCCGACCGGATGGACCGAGAACCGGTTCATAACCAGTCTAGTTCGCTTGAATAAAATATTTTCTCTAGAATCCGTCAACACCAGTCGGTTGGACTGGTAGGATCGATATGATTTTTTAAATAAATTTTGTTATATTTAAAATTATTTTAAATAAAATAGAGATTTATAAATTATTTATCAATTAGTTTAAACATTTGAATTTATAAATTGTTTAAATATCTAAGTAACATATTTTATTTAAATATATTACAAAAAGTACTATATATATATGTATATATATACATTAAAATTCTATTATTAAAATCTGAACAAACCACGAATGATTTAATAAAATAGCTTGATCGTTTCAATGACGGTCCAGTTCTGA